GATTGTAAGCAAGTATGGGCCTGCTCCCAGTAGTATTGTATGGCTGTGAGAATTGGACCATAAAAGGAAAGCTGAGCGCTGAATAATTGAAGTTTTCAAATTGTGGTCCTGGAGAAGACTCTTGAGAGTTCCTTGAACTACAAGGAGATCAAATCAGTCAATCCTAAAGGAAATCAACCCTGACTGTTCTTTGGAAGGACAGATACTGAATCTGAAGCTCAAATAATTTGGCCACCTAACGAGAAGAGGGGACTCCTTGAAAAAGACCCTGATGTTGGGAAAGATTGAAAGCAAAAGGAGAAGGGGACTGCAGAGGATCAGATGGTTAGATAGTGTCATTGACACAACAAACATGAATTTGGGCAAAATCTGGGAAACAGTGGAGGAGAGGGGCGTTGAGTTGCTATGGTCCATTGGACCACGGAAAGTCAGACACGGCTGAATAACTGAATAAGAAAAATAAGCCTGCCATCAAGTCCTGAGAAAGTTACCGTCATTGTCCAGTGAGGGTTGCCCCTTGTTAATAATGGACTTCAGTGCTTTAAATGGTATTCTGCTATTCCGTTTCTGTGGTCTGCCTTTTAATAGATCCAATCTGGCTGTATTGATTTGTCAGTTGAAATTGGTTGAGTGGATAGTTCAATTTCCTGAATTCGTTCTACAAGTCGAATATCTCTATTAAGTGAGGTAGAACAAATTTAGCTGGCTATCGATGTTATATTTGGTGGTATGTTCTGAGTGAAAGCTGGAAACAAACAGGTATTCATCATGATCTATAGGTTGCATAACATGGTTATTATAGGTCCCTTGTGGAGATTTATACATCCCCTGTGGATGTTCTAGGTCAGCCATGAAGATGTGGGCAATACATTCATGGCTCCATCGCAGATTCCAAGTACATGCTATTGCCATTGTTGAGGTTGTCTATGGAGAGTCTCATGGTCATGGTTATCCCAAAGGTGCTTTTTTTCAAGAGGAAACTGGAGTTTCTGGTTTTTCTTTGAAGATGTTTCACTTCTCATCTAAGAAGCTTCTTCAGCTCTGACTGGATGGTGGGGAATGGAAGGATTTATACTCCTTGTATCATCATTGAGGTTGTTTGGATGAATATAAATTACAGCCGGGTGACAAGGGATGCTGTTTTGGTATCAGTGAAGATGTTCTTAATGGCTTGCAGCAATAGCAATAGCACTTAGACTTATATACTGCTTCACAGTGCTTTACAGCCCCCTCTAAGCGGTTTACAGAGTCAGCATATTGCCCCCAACAATCTGAGTCCTCATTTTACCCACCTCGGAAGGATGGAAGGCTAAGTCAACCTTGAGCCTGATGAGATTCAATCTACCAAATTGCAGGCAGCCAGTGATCAGCAGAAGTAGCCTGCAGTACTACACTCTAACCACTGTGCCACCATGGCTCATTGTAGTCCATGTTTGTGGGGGATATTGGTGTATAATGGCTACAATTGTGTTATTAGGGAGATTTCCTATGGGATTCAGGTTTTTTTTTAGGAAGTCTGTGAGGCCTTATGTGAGTGCTGGTGGCCTAAGGTCTAAAAACAAAGTCCATGAAACTTGATATTTCAGCTGTGATAATTCCAGTGTTTGAGACAATGGGACAGCCTGGGTGGCTTGGTTTGGATATTATGGCAAAGAGGTAGAAAATGCTTGGTTGAGGTTCTTGAAGTATTTTCACATAAGGTTGCGCTGGTGCTGTGTGGTCTGAGGAGCTCTTTCATCAGGTTGCATATTTTTGTTTAATAAGTAAGGATGTGAGGAGAGAAATTGATAGAATGGGGTATGCAATAGGGAAATGGGATCAGAGGTTACTCCCAATTATCCCTTGAATGTCAAAAGTAATTTTGCAGGTCACACAGAGATTACAATTAAAATTCAAGCTGTCAAAGTTTCAAAGAAATGTAGTAAGTCTGAGTGGCATATATTTGACACATTAAGGAACAGCCATGCTTTAGTTGTAAATCTTGGGTTTTGTATATGGAAAAGAAGTGCTCAAAATCAGTTTCTGACATCTCCAAATGAGGTGGCAAAACTGAAACTCGGTGATGCAGATCTGTCTCTTCTAACATGCTGTTCACAGTGGTACTAAGTGAGCTTGAATGCAAGGAAATATTTCTGCTCATGCTTCTCAAAAACCGTTGTGGAAAGATATACTGTCCCACTGGCATCAGCCCTCACAACTAATAGTTACTGATGAATCACTCACTACATTTTGTGGAAATGAACTCCAAAGGTTATTGTACTATTTGAGAAATAAGTTTTAGGGAGTTCTGTTTTCTCCACACCATGGATGAAAATTTTGTACTTCTCTCATGTTCTCTTTTTCTTTTATCATCATCTTCATTTAATGATCCCATAATCATCTTCATTTAATGATCCCATAAGGTTTTGGTTACCACCTTTAAAGCGCTCCATGGCTTAGGGCCTGGTTATTTACGGGACCGCCTACTACCACCAATAGCCTCCCACCGGCCAGTACGCTCTCATAGAGAGGGACTCCTCCGGGTGCCGTCAGCCAAACAGTGTCGACTGGCGGCCCCTAGGGGGAGAGCCTTCTCTGTGGGGGCACCTACCATCTGGAATGAGCTCCCCCCGGAGATACGGAGGATCCCGGATCTGCACTCCTTCCGCCGTGCTGTGAAGACCTTTTTATTCCATCAAGCGGGCTTGGCCTGATCTCTTCCCTTTTTAAATACGTAAATTTTAATCTGTTTTTAAATTATTGGGGCATTTTAATTTGTCTGGGCCAAATAATTTAATTTGATTTTATCGGGTTTTTAAATTTTGTGTATTTATGTATTTTATTGTTGGCTGTTCACCTCCCTGAGTCCTTCGGGAGTAGGGCGGTATACAAATCAAATAAACCTAAACCTAAATAAACCTAAACCATAATCCCTTGTGGGATGGAGTCTGGGCAACTGAATGGAGCTGGATGCCCTTCCTGTCACCAATGCAGAGTTATATTTAGCAGATATAATCTCAATGTGCCCAGAGAGAGAAACATCTGCCTCTACCTAGGATCGAACTCACAGCTTCCTGATTGTGAAGTGAGAGCTCCACCTCTAGGCCATTCCACTACTCCAAGTCCTCTCTTGCTCTGTGTCTGCATAATTAAATGCTTAGTCTGCAGTATGTGCATAAGATGTTCTTATCAGCACTTGAGGTGAATAGATACGATGCTGTCATATCATGACAGTCAAGTGTGTTCCTTACAACCTATTTAATAGCAGGGGGCATATTTTTGTATGTATATATGAGCATAGGGGAAGCTACATGTGCTTTGCTCAGGGTTGGCTGACCAGGAGGGAGGTGGAAAGGAAGTTTAGAATGGAGCAGCCATCAACTTCCTAAAATGCTGTTGAGAGACAGATCGGTGTTGTAGTTAAGGCATTATCAGAGGTGGTATTTAACAGGTTCTGACCAGTTGTGGAGAATCAGTAGCGGACATTTTGAGTAGTTTGGAGAACCGGTAAATACCACCTCTGACTGGCCCCACCCCCATCTATTCTCTGCCTCCCGAGTCCCAGCTGATCGGGAGGAAATGGGGATTTTGCAGTAACCTTCCCCTGGAGTGGGGAGGGAATGGAGATTGTACAGTATCCTTCCCCTTCCACGCCCACCAAGCCACACCCACAGAACTGGTAGTAAAAAATTTTGAATCCCACCACTGGGCATTAGGCTAGAAAGTAGGAGACAGTCATTTCTCATTCTGCCTTAGGCCCAAAGCCAGCCATGCGACCTTGAGTCAGTCAGTTTTTCTCATTCTTCGAAAGGAGATAATGGCAAATCACTTCCCAAATACCTCACCAAGAAAACTTCAGGGATTAATCCAGGAATTTGCCAGGAGCGAAAAACTGACTTGAAGGAACCAACCCAACCCAATCAAAATGCAACTGTCTCTTTCATAAGAACATACAATGGAAAAAAATGGCATTTTCCCCCCACTGCAGATCCCAGCCTGACCCAACCCCTTTTCAGACGTGAGCGATATTTTTGCTTCTCTCCCCACCTCAGTTTTGATCAACCCTGTTTAGTTTTTTTGAGACTCAGCCCGCTAACAGAAAGATGTGTGGGCAGTGTCCCGACTCCCTGTTTGTTTTCACTATTCTGTTGAGTTGAAGGAAATATGAAAAGGAAGCAAAAACTAGCTTGATTGGTTCAGGGACAAAACAGGTTTGTTTTAAACTAACTGTTCAAAACAGAATGCCCTGAAATACCAAGGTTAATAGAATCATCCATACTACCAGAAGTTTTAATTCCGGTTATCGAAATTGTAGTTACTAGAGTTTAGAGTATCTACAATCATCAATAATGCATTATATTTAAACATACGGCTTTAATTTCCCAGCTGTTTGCTTCTTGCTTGAATGATCTATTGACCTTTTCTGATGCTGCTAATGAACAACTTAGTAATAAAGTTGTGACATTAGTCTCTTGACTCACTGTTTGCAGGTTGTATGGCATATTTTCTCTTGCTTCGTTGGAAAAGGCCTTTTGTCCCATCACCTTGGAAAGCCTTACTTCTTTGTTATCTTTGACTTCAGTTTCCTGCTAGGGAAGGGTTTTTTAAAAAACCTTGGACAAGATTTTTCACCTTTGCTTTCAACACTGGGCTATTTATTCTTGTGAGTGTCATTCCATTTTAGTTTTCCTCTGGTTTCTCAGAAATATACATCAGTCAAGCATCAGCAGCTTTCCTGCTCTGGTTAAGGTGAGCCTCAAAGAGGGAGTTGTGACCTTGTAAATGCAATAATTTGTAAGTATTAATATTAATTCAGCTGTTTCCCTATCTATTCCGTCAAGAGTAGCTTCTGTTTGAATAGACAATACATGTCCGGTTGAGCTTTTACTCTTCAAATGGGTTTTCTGTAGTCAAGTCATATGTGGAGTCTGATTTTGCAATGCAAAAGGCCCTTCGCTCTTTCCTTTTCAAAATAAATAAATAAATAAAATAAAATCCTTTACATTAATGTTTCAATACAGAGAACAGGAAGAATGGAGTTTTAGTTGGGAGAATTTCTGAAGATTGATGCTGCTGAACTGGATTCTTTGGCTAAACATTTGATACAAGTAAGAAAATCCATCTTGGACATTATAATAATAATTTCCTTAAAGTATTCCTACCCTAACCTTTCTATGATAAAAGAAATAAGAAGAGACAGAGAACCTGTAGAGAACGTCTCTATAATACCTATCTTTCTTTCTTTCTTTCTTTCTTTCTTTCTTTCTTTCTTTCTTTCTTTCTTTCTTTCTTTCTTTCTTTCTCTCTCTCTCTCTCTCTCGCTCTCTCTCTCTCTCCATCCATCCCTCTCTCCCTCTCCCTCTCCCATCTCCCTCTTCTATCTCCCTCACCTACCTACCTACCTTCCTAGTCTTGCTCCACTGTTTTTTGACCTACCCTTGGTAATTCTGTTTAAGTAAGGACATATATCTGAAACACTGATCCAACAGGGCATAAATTGTCTAGTTTATGTATTAAAACGATTTATAGATGGCTTCTCATTCATGAAGCCTTGGGGCAGTTTCCAATACTAATATCAAAGCAATACTAGAAAATAAAAACCATATTTTAAAAAGAACAGTACTAGTGGGAGTTGCTGACTGAGGAAGGCCATCATAAAATAGATGCTAGTACCTTATTGAGAAAAAGTCAGCCCATAGGCTGTTACCATAGAGATAACCCAGCTCTACATTGTTACTAACTGGCCATCCATATTGTAGTTGCTTGATAGGCTGGTATAAATGGAGATATTGAGGTGTTCTTTGCCTTTTCCTAGTCCTAATACTTTAATTATGCCTCAACAGTAGCTTTGTAGCTAGGAAATATCTTTAGCATTGGTTCAATATGTGTTTGTTATATGGCAAAATAATGCATCCGTGTCAGGAATCTTATTGCTGCAGTAATTGTAACTTCCCAACCAGCCCCAAAGGCATTGTAAGGATCCAATTTTGAGATGGCCAATCTGTATGAATGGACCAAAGAATATCCTACTGGAAACAATAAAATTATTGTGAAACCATACTTCACAAACTCATCCATCTCTAATTAAGAAAAATGTTATCTCTAGTTAAAAGGTAAAGGTAAAAGTTCCCCTCGCACATATGTGCTAGTCATTCCCGACTCTAGGGGGTGGTGCTCATCTCTGTTTCAAAGCCGAAGAGCCAGCACTGTCCGAAGACATCTCTGTGGTCATGTGGCCGGCATGACTAAATGCCAAAGGCACACGGTTACCTTCTCTATTTTTTCTACTTGCATTTTTTTATGTGCTTTTGAACTACTAGGTTGGCAGAAGCTGGGACAAGTAATGAGAGCTCACCACGTTACGTGGCACTAGGGTTTCAAACTGTTAAACTGCCGACCTTTTGATGGACAAGCTCAGCATCTTAACCACAGAGCCATTGCGTCCCTTTGTCTCTAGTTAGGAAGACCCATTAAGCAGGGTTTCAGATTATATGTTGAAGTCAGCCATTATGGTATATTTATTAGACCCCTTAAAAAGGACCTCCTGCCCCTTGAAACTGAGATACCAGGACTTTGGTACAGGAAGGTTGCATTTGATGGACAGTTTCCGAAACCTAAGATGACTATAAATTGAAATGTTTTGGGCCCAGAAAGTTGAGAGTAGAACATACAACGTTATTTTTCATAGGTGGAAAGTTGAAATACATTGAAAATATATATTTATATATTGAAAAGAGCTGGCCTCCTTCGGTGGATGGCATGCCTGGGCTTTGCAGAGGACAATTTTACCCAAATGGAAATCAACTTATCCTCCTGAACATAAGGAGTACATAAGGAGTAGATTCAAGACCTGTGTTTGATATGAGTTTTTGAAACGTTTTTATATTCCACACATGAAAAGATGCAGCAATATATGGCTTAGAATGAATGATAAGTTGAAAGATGGAATTTATTTTATAGTGATACTCAATAAGTCTGGTGGGGTTTTTTCATTCTTTTATATTTCTTTTTATCACTATGTTGTATGTAGTTTTATTATTTTTATTGTACATTCACGGTTGTTGTAGTTATTGTTTCACCAATAAAAGTTTTAGATTGTTCTTTATCAGACCTTTTTCAAGACGCGTCAAAATTCTTTTTATAACAGGGTTCATAGGAAAGCTTTTACAGTGTTTTTCTCTTTGGTCTTTGCAAAAATAACTATCAAAATGTACCCCCAACTGAGCAATTGGGATATTTGAAATGAATAAAGGGAAGGAGTTTTGGGGGTTGAGGGAGTTACTGACATAGTTGAGGGACTTGAGTGCCCTGAGGAAGATAGCTATATTTATTTATTTATTTTATTTATTTTTATTAGTTTGTCAAACATGTACAAGATAGCAGGTATGAATATGGACATGGACATGAACGAGGGAAATGAATACAAATAAATGAGGACGTTTATTTATCAGAGGTTCAACCATACTGAACAGGTCTTATAAGAGGAGTCAGACAAAGAGTGTCTCTTCTATAAACTACATGGTGTGACGTAACTTACAGAAACCCATACTGGACAATTTATTGTCCAGGTCAACAAGGACTATGCTACTTGGAAGTTGAGTCATGGCAACTGGACTTCTTTTCTTGTTAGTTTGAAATGTTTTGCTGCTTATCGAAGTAGCTTCTTCAGTCTGAGCTCAGATTGAACAAATTACTTGGATAAGCAGCAAAACATTTTGAACTAACAAAGAAAGAAATCCAGTTGCCATGACTTAACTTCCAGGCAACTCTATCTGGATGACTGAGAATTTTCATTGACCGCGGCCTTGCTAGGTGATGGATTTCCTCAACATCTGGTAACAAATGGGCTACAGGACTCAGGACTGTTAGCTGAACAACCACAGCCAGCAGCAGCTGCAAGATTACTAGAAGAAAAGTTGCTTACTCATCACAAATATACGAAGATTTAAAAAATGCTATTACGAATCAAGTCCAATGAGAACAAGATATTTGAAAAGAATGCAACAGTTCTGGAAAGAATGACATCCAAAATCAGCAATAACAGATGCCAGAATTCAGGCTAGCTGATCAATGTTGATTTATAATATGAATTAAAAATATTCCCAGAAATAGAACTGGAAGAATTGCTAAGATCAATTCTTAGGCAAAGAAATAAAAACCTTGTCAGATGTAGCTCAGACAGTAGAGACAACCCAGAGGAACTCAGCAATAGAGGATGCCACCATCTCTACTGAACTATTTTCATTTCCAAACCATGCATCCACTCTACCTTCTCCTTAAAAAGAACAAAGCAATCTATCTGGAAAACAAGAAGAACTGAAATGAAGGAATAATTGAACGCCTAAAACAACAAAAACTTGTTACTAAGAAACAGCTAGCACCAGTATTAAAATATGCCAATACTGTAATATAGACTATAATTACCAGCTCATGGCAAGAAACAAATCAAGTGATGTACAGCATAGCTGCAATCATAACTGAATAGCTGGGATGCAAAATGAACAAACGAAGAAAAGAAGCCAAACAGTGCATCACCAAAATGGAAGATAAGATTGGAAAATAAGATCAGCATCCTAAACAGATGAAGGGAAAGAAGCTGAAGAACAAGAAAACCAAAGAACACCTGATGTCACTCAGAAATGTCACTCAGAGATAAGGAAGATCAAGGAAGCACCAGAAAGAACAAAGCAACAAATAACAGTTATAGCCAAGAAGATAAGCAGATATAAAGCTCAATTGCACACTATAGGCCAGTGGTGGTGAACTTTTTACTCACCGAGTGCCAAACAGGTATGCGCTTCGCTTACGCGCAGTTACCCCATACCTGGCAAGATAACCGCACCATATGCGCATATGCACAGCTTTCGCACGGCTCCCGCCCTGTGCGCTGTGTGTGCAATTGCACCATCTGTGCATGCATACGGTTTTTGCACATGCAATGCATGCACTTGAACGCCATCTGCACATGTGTGCGCTGCACACAGATACCCGCACATGCATGCACAAATGTGTGTGTATGCACTGGAGAGCTCTGAAGACCAGCTGGGTCTCCAGAATTGTGTGCATGCGAATTGGAGGCCCGAACACCAGCTGGGGCGCGTGCGCATGCACAGCTGCAAGTGAGTTGGATGACAGCTCATGTGCCTGAAAAGATGGCTCTGCGTGCCATCTTGGGCACATGTGCCATAAGTTCACCATCACGGCTATAGGCAAAATCTCCACTTATAGTTGAATGAGAAACATGTCTACCAATCCATCCATATTGAAAATGCAGCGAACCACTCAACTCTGGACAAAGGAGAAACAGTGCAGTTCTAGGCACAGCTAGGGGACAATCCAAAGAAATACAACAAGAATGCAGCTTAGATAAAAGAGGTAGAAAAGGAAAAAAGAAATGAAATTGAAATGAAAGAACTGGTAATAAGAGCAGAAATTTTATTTTATTTTATTTTATTTTATTTTATTTATTTTTTTGTCAAGCATATATAAGATAACAGGTAAAAGTATAAACATAATTTGAATACATGAAAAGAGTAAATAAAAAAGGAATATTAGGACAGGGACGGTAGGCACGCTGGTGCACTTATGCATGCCACTTACAGACCTCTTAGGAATGGGGTGAGGTCAACAGTGGACAGTCTGAGGTTAAAGTTGTCGGGGTTTGGGGAAGAAACCACAGAGTCGGGTAGTGCATTCCAGGCATTGACCACTCTGTTACTGAAGTCATATTTTCTGCAATCGAGTTTGGAATGGTTTACCTTGAGTTTGTATCTATTATTTGCTCGTGTATTGTTGTGGTTGAAGGTGAAGTAGTCATTGACAGGTAGGACATTGTGGCAGATAATTTCATATACTACACTTAGGTCAGGCCGAAGTCGGCATAGTTCTAAATTGTCTAAGCCCAAAATTTGAAGTCTGGTGGAATAAGGTATTTTATTGCGGGTAGAGGAATGGAGGACTCTTCTTGTAAAATATCTCTAGACTCTCTTGATTGTATTTATGTCCGATATGCAGTACATATACAATGTGTTTGGATTGTTGTACACCACCCAGAGTCACTTTCTGTGAGATGTGCAGCCATATAAATTTGACAAATAACTATACAAGC